TCACTTTTCTCAAACGCCCCCCCCACCTTTCCCCCCCCCAACGCCTTTGTCAACGCCCACGTCGATCCTCATCTGACCGCCCAATGAGGTTTCCCTTCCCCATTACCCGATCCCCCCCCATCATCATCCCCCCCTTCCCTGGCAATACAATATCTATTTCTTTATTAAAAACAGCCAAAAAAAATTATTTCATACTAAATTTTGAATCTAATTAGAAATCACAATAGAATTCTTATTTTAATTAACTGAACTTGAGGTCTATAGAACCTAAAAGGAATTAATTTATTCTACATATTCCTGATAAGCAAGTTTCTTCCCAATCTTTTTTCCTATAAACTAGATATCCATTCAATTCTTTGATGTTTATTAAATTAAAAATTTTACATTAACTATTTGCTATAAATAATTTTACTATATATTCCCACACTTAATGCTTTTCTAATAATAAAGAAAAAGAAAAATCCTGAACCTCAAACTTTGCATCCTTTTCAATAATATCTATTCCTACACTATTTTTTATGAATTAATTCAGACTAAACTTCTCGATTATAAAAGAATTAAATTTTAGCTAATAATTTGGATTTGATTCCTAACTTAGAGAGTCTTAAAATTTTAAAAGAAAATCAACTTCCTGCTGAAAAAACAGTAATTTTACTTTTAAATCAGCATAACCTTCACTTCGTTTTTCGGATTATTAAAATGTTAATTGTATTTTTTCAAAAGTTAAGCCAGTGTACTTGGTTATAATATTTTCTTTCACAACATTTAATTCACCTTCAAATTCTTAAGATATAATATTGTAATTAAAGTATACAATATGATTTACTCTTGGAAATATATCTATTCCTTCAAATTAACGTCCAAGCAAACCAAAACCCAATTTGAAAGGATCGATTGACATTTGTAAAGATTTATCTTCTATTTCTAAATTTAGCGATCCTGTAGGATTTAACTAAAGTTCAAAGGTATTTAGAGGAAATCCTTTTAATGCTATTAATCCTTTCAAAATAAGCCCAAAACATTTATCAGATCCAAAAATTGTTAAATAGCAGTCACAAAGATTTATAAATTCAGATATTTTCCTTCGATTCAATAGACCTACGCTAAATTTCAACCAAACTGAATTATCCCAAATTATCATTGATTCGTAAGTTTGCTCTTAATTCTATTTTTCTTAATCCTTTGCTTCTTACTTTTATTTTAATTCTTAAGCTATTTTTTCATCTTACATTTATTTTAGCTTTTAAGCTATTTTTTCATCTAAACCAGTTTAAAATTTTTATTATTTTGATTTTGCCTCTTCAAAATCATAACCTTGAGATTGCATTTTATGTTCTTGCATTTAAAAAAACTATTAAAGTTCTTCTCCTAATTTTTCAAATTAATCCAAATTTAAAAATGATTTAGAATTCTCTTATTCAAATTATATTGTTTCAATTTCATCAAACCCTTTTACTTATGATAATTGCTTTTCCAAATCACTTGAGAAAGCAGCAATAATATGTTTTAATTTTGGGGAGTTCATCCCTTTTTTTAATTTCATAGTTAGACACTTTTCTAAATCTTAGCAAAAAAATCTCAAAAAATCAAACTCTAATTCAACTTCAATTGTAAGCTTAAGAATTTCAACAGTGAAACCTATTGTAAATTATGCAATTTTTGAATCAATATGGGAATATATTTGCATACTTTTTATTTAGAAATTTATTTTCTCAAAAATTTGAATATTCCAATCAAACTCAATAATTATTTAAAAATTCCAATAAATTGCATCAGTGATAATATCAAGCTTCTTTATTGAAGTAGCTTTACTTTTTGATAACTAAGATATAAAAATATTGTTGTTTTCAAAATAATTCTAGAAAAATTTTTTAATTATTTTATCAGAATAAATTTAGTGTTATCCTTGAGGTAATTATTCAGTTAATTTGAATATCATTGTGTTTTTTTGAATTATTCCAACTAAATTACCAATATCTTAATCTAGAAACTGAAATGCAAATTCAATACTTCCATTTAAAGCAATTGGTTATTTTAGTTCTATATTTGTATCTATTTTATTAATTTTAATCCAAAATGGTAACTTATAAATTTAAATTGGTTTTTCACATCTAAGTTGTATTTCTACCCTTCTTTCTTCAAAATCAATATATGGTACAAAATTTTCACAAAAAGTAAGATTAATATTAGAAATTAAACTAAAACATCCAGATTCCAAAAAAATATTAACTATATTTTATTATGGAATACATATTTCTCCTCTATTTGAAATTAAATCATTTATTCTACCAAAATATCCTTGTTTGATAAAATAATAATTTAATTCAAGATGCAGATCACAACTTAGTTAAAATTAAGTAATGATATTTTCCTTGTTTGAGGCAAATTTTCCAGATATATCTTTTAATTTCAAATTGATATTAGGAAATGTGTAGTCATTTAAACTGAAATTTAAAATGATTTCTAAATCTTGATTTAGGAGCAATAAACATTCCATGTCTGATTTTGATAAAAGGTGTTTAAAAGTCTTAAAAAATTATTCTTAAGATGGCCCAATAAGGGATTTAATCAAAGGAACCAAAGATAAATCATTAGATTATTAATATTAAATTTACAATTAACCTCCAGGATTCAATCTTGCTTCAGCTAAAAACGTATATTACTAAAATTAACATTTTGACTTCATTATAAATTTTAACAATTCTTTGCCTTTAATGTATAAAGACAAGAAAGTAGGTTCAATCTTCAGAGTTTCCTAACATAATTAAATATTTAACTCTCCATTTACTTGAATTTCATAACAACCTAAGTCATATTAGTTTTCTGTTTAAAAATTTACCAGCAATATTTATCTACTGATGCCCTCAATAAAACTCTAATAATTTTGAATATCATTATTTGATAATTATTTTTTTAAAAATTAACTTAAGTTTTTTAAATCCAACCATCTTTTAGTTTAGTCGTGGTTAACAATTTAAAAGGAATTAGACACTAATTTATTTAAGATTGTATCATTATATTTTTCTAGAATTTAATCAACTTGAAGTTGATGATTGAAATCAAAAATTGGAAAATCAGGATGATTTTTACATTCCTTAAAATCTGATCCAAAAAGGATCTCCATTGTTTAATCATAATATTTTAATCCGTTTTCTTAAATCATCCTAAAAGCTTTGATAATACTCCTTAGATTAATTAAGCACTTAGATTATTCCTAAATAAAGATTATTTAGTTCAATATATTACTTGCCAAAATAACAGTATCTTCTAATTAAAGCTACTATCCCAAACCACTTCTAGTCAAAATTTCTATAACATCTATATAATTATCAGCAATATCAATTGAAAAGTTAATTTTAATACATCGATTATAAAAGGCAGGAGATAATATATGTTAGTCTTCCCTGGAGGGATTTTATACACATATTAAACGAAAATTCTTATGAGGAATGATACAGGAATTCGAGTCTCCAAACTCATTATTGAATAAGCGAGGTGAATCTTCTCCCAAAGAATTCAATCGTTCAACTATTTCAGCTCTTGCTAAATTAATATTGTCTAAAATTAACCAATATCCAAATTTACAACAAACCTTTAATACTCCTTCGATATATTTCATATTCATCCCCTATTTTTATTTTTTATTATATATAAATTTCTATTTTTATTTCAAAGAAATCCTCTCTAATTCTTATTAAATTTCATCGTAATTAGGGTCAACTAAAGCAAAATTCCCAAGTAAATCATCAGTTTCTAAATCGCAATGGATTGGCAGTAGAATAAATCTTTGGTTTAAAAGATTAGCCAATTTGATGATGCAGGAAGTTTTTCCTGATGAGACATCTCCTTAACATAGTATTACTTTCTTTGAATGAATAGCTATAAACAGCTTTTCAAAAATGGCTGAATTTTATAAGTTTATAACTAATGAATTATTGGAAATTTAAGGAGGTACCTAATTTGATAAAATAAAATTGAATAACGGTTTAAAATCTTTTTCAATTTATCTGCTTATTCTGATAATGTTTGCATTTTGCTCTAAAAAGACTCTTCTATTGATCCATTCTTCCTCACTTAAACCAAACTTATCTAAGATTATTTTTATCACTTATTTTGTAAACTCCGTTTTATAAAAGTGCTATACATATATCATATCTAAACAAACAATTATCAATTCTAATTAAAGTTTTTCATCATTTAATTTTTATCTCTACTCCAAAATTTGTTAGCTGAAAAGTTACAATAGATTCTCCAAAAATCTAATATTAAAGTCATAATTTGATTTCATTTTTTATTATGCCAATAAAGCAAGCTCTTTGTGTAAATCCAACATCAATTAAAAATTAACTCCATTATTTTATAAATGTTTAATTTCATTTTTATATCTCTATTAGAATATGTCTAATACTTAATCTATGCTGAATGCTTCAATATAAACATCACACAATAGATTCGAAATACATAAAGGTAAGTCTTTTCTCCCTTCATATGAAGTGGGATTCATTGAGCATAAGAATACGCATTTATCTTTATTTAATCTACTATCTTTTATTCTAATCTCCTTTTCATCTGTGTTAAATAAAGCCTAAAGTGTACTTAAAACTTCAGGAGATGCTAAATTAACTTCATCGAATAATATTAAGCTCTTCTGTGATAATGCTTAAGCTAGATATCCTTCTTGAAATGTAAATGCTATTTGATCATTGTCAATCTTTGGAGCATAAGACCCAAATAGATCTTCAACACTCAAAGAATCCGAACAACAAACTCTACAGTGTTCCTTTTTAATTATAGAGGCAAATTCTGATGCAATTGCAGATTTTCCAACTCCTGGTGGTCCAATAAGGCAAGGTATATAATTTGTAGTAATTGCTGAGTATATTCTTTGTAATATTTTTATTGTAGACGGATTCATGATGATTTTTGGAGAATTGAAAAACTATTTATCTTTTAATTTTTCTTAAATTTTGTTTAAAGCTTGTTTGTAATGTTCCTAATAATTAGCATCATTAATGACTTCTTCAAAAGTTATTCTATATTTGTCCAGAATAGTAAATTAAAATCCTAATGCTAATTTTTATAAGTGAGTAGCATCTATATCCAAATTCAAAAAGCTCATCCATTAATAGAATTTTCGATCAGATATATTTTCATAGTAGACTTCTTTAACTTCTTTAGTCCTTATTAAAACATCCTAAACAAACTTAATTATTTGATCACTCTCAACCTAATTTTTAATTTTACTTTATATAAATTTCTAATAAGAAATGTCTAGTATTTTTGTAGAATTAATGAGTTATGGAACTTATATTTTGATTTTTGTCAGTCTTGATTACAATGCATCGCTTAATTAACCTCCAAAATTAGTATTTAATAATGCTATTACAAAAAATTCATTATGTAATTTAATCTCTTATCCATTTACAATAAAGTGTGGTTCTATTTCCAATAATGCATTTAATCCCTCTATAACTGATTAATCTGCCATGGATATGTTTTTTAAACAGACAACACCTCCAAATCTAGCATTAAATGTTAATCCTCTTTCAATAAAAGGGAATTAGTTACCAATATTTTTGAAAACTTGATCAAAGAACGAAGGTTATTGATATTTATCATTCAATTATTTAAATCTGCTTTCGATATTTATTTCATTTTAATTTATATTCTATTCATCTTTATCGAGTTTCTTAATTAAATTTTAACAATATTTTTCATAAGATTCTTGGTTATGAGATTCCATACTCCCAATTAAGTCCGTTATCTCAGTTTATGAATTGATGTACATTAATTCGAATGGATAAGGATTCTAAAACTCTACTAGTTAGGCAAATAGTTAGGATAAGTATGTTTTTGATGATGTTTTCCCCACAATTAAAATATTTTCTCTAAAATAACAGCTAAATGCTATTTTACATAAGACTAATCTTTAAATAGGGTTTAGATTTTATTCTGCCGATTTATGAATGTTGTAATTTTTGCCAAGTTTAAATGGTATCGATATCTCAGCCTGTTGATTTTTTATTGAAAACTTAATGGTTTATTGTTTATATTCAATTTTACATTCTAAATCTTATTCTTCAGAGGCATTTTTAGGAAAAAGAATTATCTAATGTAATTGTAATTGATTTTCCCAATTAGGTTATTTAGTGGAAAAATTTGTTTTCTCCAAACGATTTCTAAATCTTATGAATTGTCTTAAAGTAAATTAGGTCCCATTGAAATTTAATAGATTTTCATTGCCGTCTTTTGGATACGGTATTAGTTTGGTTAGAAAATATTCCATACCTTTTTTGATGCAATCTTAACTATCTTTCTTCATACTTAGTTGTGACTCTGTGCAAATTTTAATTACTTCCTCATAAGGATAATTAGGAACTTCAACAACTATAACTTTAGAAGCTAATGTTTGTGGGAGCTCAGTCCTGCTATTATAAGATGGAGGATTCTATGCGAAAAAGATTCTAAAATTTTCATGAACCTTTATAACTTTATTTGAAATAGGATCTTGAAATTCTGAAGGATACTTGGCTACAGATGCTAAGAAGTTAAGTAAACTTGCATCTGAAAGGTTAGCCTCATCTATTAACACTATTCCACCTTACTCCATTCCTAAATACAATGGGCCTTTTTTTAGTATAAACTCCTTCTTATCTTAGTTGCATGATGATATATATTATCCCATTAGATCATTAACGTCTGTATTTTAATTCAAATTAATATAATGAAAAGTAGTTGATTCAAATAATTTGCATGTTTATTAAAATGTAGATATTACTTTTGTTTTTCCAACTCCTGCTGTTCCTTATAAAACCAAAGGTATTTTAGCAGCTACAGCTACTGCAATTATATCAGAGACAATTTTCCTTGATGGAGTTACAACAAAATTGTTTTTCTTACTATCTTTTGATTATAATTACTAATAATGAAGAGGTACTTATATTTATTCACTTAAAAGAGACTTATTATCTTGTAAACTTAAAGCAATGAAGAAATCTATACATTGTATTACTTTTTATTACAAATTCATCTTAAATTGAGCTTCAGCGAATTTCTAGATTTCCTTGATTGGCTTTAAGAATCTGATTATTTTGTTCAATGATATTTATTCAATTTAGGTTTCTAAATTGGATGAAGTCTTCCCATTATTCCCTGCCATTAATTTGGTAGTAATATCTCTTACAAAGTTTATATCAGATGGTATATTTGCTGATTAAAATAATTAAATTATATCATCTTAATTTACTTGAAATTCTAAGAAAAAGCTTAAGAATCTGCTTTTTAAGGCTGGAGTGATTTTTTTATCTAATTCATGAAAATCAGATGAAACTGCAATCACAGCAAAATCTTAGTGTCTTTGGTATTTTTCATTCTACACCAATAATTAAAGAAATTTCTTTTCCAAAATTCCATTTAACGATTCTGTTAAGGCACAATCTGGGGCTTCAAAATTAGTGAGGATTAACACCTTCCCTTGATGAAAACATCTGGTAACTGGTCCTATAATGAATTCAAATCCATTCTAAGTAGGTTGATACTTTCCAAATAAATCTTCCGCATTTGTACTAGAGGATAATTCCAGTATTTCATATTTTTCTATCTTCTGAAATTTTAACCAAAGAAGAATGCTTGATAATTTTCCACAAAATTATTATCCCACTACTAATGCTGCTCTCTTAGTTTTGTAACATAAGGTCAACATTGAAAATAATGTTTCATGAAATGAGAGAACCTTTAACTCATTTGTATTGTTCCAATTCATAATTTCAGTATCCCTCTTTGATTTTGTTTAATCAAATGCATCATTTGTATCAGCAATAAATTTGTTTTGATCTATTTGATAATTTATAAGATCACGATTCTTTTTTAAATAAATGAATTATGTTGAGATTAATTTCATACAATCTTTTAGAGGCAATAATTCAAATATTTTGTCCTTGTCTTATTCAAATGAAACAAAAATGAAATCAATAATTTAAACTATATCTCTTAAGGTAAAAAGTCCATCATCCATATTTTTCAATTTAATTTCTTCATAAATCATCATAATCAGAAAGGATAATTATTAAATAGATATCTTTTGCTCTGGCTATTTCTTCATTTCTTGTAACTTTGAGACTAAAATTTAATCAACAATGAAATTTAAATCATTCATACTCATGGACTCAAACTTTATGGGAATGAATTGGCTCATCAAAGATGGAGAAAAGATATTTCTAGATGCTGCAAACTTTGAATCAGTTGCTGGATTTTAGGTTAAAAAGAGTTTAAAATTTTAATGTTTCTTTATTGTTAAAGTTCCGTCTATTTAATCTACATGAGAATTTATAGAACTGCCATATAAAGTGATATATCCAAGCTCAAGAACATCTTCAATAACTCTTAGTATTGAATCACTCGCTAAATTTGCCTCGTCTAAAAGGATCCATGAACCCTCTTATACAGCTTAAGCAAAAGGGCCTGGTTAGAATTCAAACTTAAATCCTGGTAGAATTTCAACTTTGCCAATAAAATCAGAAATCTAAGTAAATGAACTCAAATTCATTATTATTAATGGCTACTTATTTTTATAAGCCAAATATTAAATTATCGACGTCTTTCCACATGCAGCACTGCCTTCACATAAGATTGGGTTATCTCCATTTATAGCAGTTTCCAATTAAAGTAAATGTTTCTTTACACTTTGAGTTTCAGCGTAAGTGTCCATATTTGGAATCAATTCCTTTAATTTTGAATTCGCCTGATAATTAAGGTTTAAAACTCTATAATCTACTAAAGGTAAAAACCGAAACTACACATTTAGGTTTACTAAAGTTGTAAATTTTGGATTTAAGTTCTCAAAATCTTACTGGTATTACTACATCAAGAGTTCAGTTGATTTTGTTTTGTTTACATCAGTTAAAATTCCTTACAAGGCTCTCTTTTTCACTTGAGAGGCTATTGTCAAGCATTACGTTGGATATGGGGGTCTTATTGATATATCAGGAGGCAAATTTTCAAGTAATAATTGATTTTTATTGTCCAAAAACATTAAGTTTTCGTCCAAGAGAGAAACATTAAATTAAATTATATTAGGAATGCTTTTGATTTTTTACTACATTTAGAAGTTTGAGTTAATTGAATAAATATGCAAGGTTTAGGATGAGTCAAGTAAAAGTATCTCCTTTTTCTTTTTTCTGTATCCTACCTTTATTATATTTTAAGGAGGATCTGACAAATTTTGCTGAATCTCTTTTTCTATTTAAAATCCATCTTCAAATTTTGCAAGAATAATGACTAACTAACTTGATTTGTTTTGAATCAATAAAAAGGAATCTTTCTCTTATTCTTCTATTATTTTGCAGGAGACACAATTATTAAACTTTTAGACCTCAGTTTAATTTTCTACAGCTAGCACTAAACAAATGGAATTATGATTGTTCTATTGAAATTCACAAAGAATTTAATCAAATTTCTTAGATATTGTAAATTGTTCGATTTAATTAAAATCTGATTATATTTTCTTGATGACTTTGTTTAAAAAAATATCATATAGCACTAGATCATTTTTAAAAATGAGTGCGCAAATTCTACTATTGCACCAATCTACCAACCTTAACTGAGTAGTTGGAATTTGTATCTTTGTCACAGGAGTAAAAGATTTTTCTAATTATGCAGAATAAAGATTAGTTAATTTATCCTGTTCTTATTCTTCAAACATAAGTAGAAATTATAAGTTTGGATCACAGACTACACTTTGAATGTTGACATTAGTTAATTAGTACTCTCTAAAAATAAGACAATCAGAATCAAATATTAATATTTCTGAGTCTGATTTATTCTTCGATAAAATAGTCACCTTGGTGTTACGTAGTGATAGTTGTTAAGCATTAGATGCCTAGAATATGATACTCATATGAAATAATAATAATAAATAAGATAATTGACATTTTCTACAAATTTAAAGTCATAGAATTAATGATATCATCTAGATCTACTTTAAAAAATTTGATCTTCTAAGCCTAAAAGGAATTGATATCCTCAAAATACTATCTCAATTCCTAATGGCAGAGCTAAACATTTACTTGTTATGAAAATATGGAGTATATAGAATAACATTTTTATTCTAGAAGGTAATAAGAATTTTCATATATATAATTAGATTAAGAGAAAGTCAGTTGTTATATCAATTGTAAGGATAACTTGAATTTATAGGAAAATTAGCATAGAATGTTATAGCGAAAGTAATATATGAAAGATAATGACTATTAAATCTCTATAATTTTAGATCAATCTTATCTCCTGTTTTTCAGAGCGCATTCTCAAAATCAAAGTCAAATTCACTCGATTTTCTTTGTTCATATACTTCAAAACAAGTCTTGTGAAATGTAAATTCTGTCTCTTCTATTTTATGAAGAATCTAATTGTCAGCTTATATTAATTATATGCATGAATAACAGGAATCAGATACATGTATAGAACAATTATTATAAGCTAAATTTAATAATTAGCTCTCTATCATTCTACTACAAGAACCACATTTTTTTTACTAAAAGTAAGGTATATCAATTTCTGTTAAATTATTGAATTTCAATTGATTGTTAATAGCTTTTTATTCTATTTTATTCTAACAACTTGTATCTATCTCTTCTAATGTAAATCTGAACAGTGACTTTTCTTTGTTAGATTTATTTAATTTTGCATCCTTCTGTTAATATTCACTTTTGAGAATTGAAATCGTCTTAGGCAAATTATAACTAATTAAAGAAGATGTTTTTAATAAATCTGAATCAATATGGACATTCTTTTCTATCATCTATGTAGCAAGAATAACAGCTTTGAATAATTATTCTAATCTCTTAAAAATTGGGTAGTATTTGGATATTTTCTCATAAATCTCACTAAATTTTTCTGCAAATAAAACACCTTAATCATTAGAGTCCTTAATATCTTTTTCAATTATCTATTATTTCATTATTTCTATTTGCTTAGCTTTACATTTAATTTATATACTTTCTATTAAGAATTAGCCATCTTAATAACTATAAACACATTTTTAAGGATAAAGTATAAACTTGTAAATCTACTAAGATCCCATCATGCTCCCAAAATTCTGGTATGATTTCAATCCACATAATTCTAATTCTCTTGGGTACTTAAAAGGAGTTTTCCCATCTGCTGCAATACCCAAACTTATTTGTTACAATTAATGACTACTTTCAAATAACACTTTTGCAAATTCAGTATCGTTGATTACATTTCTTTTTACAAATTCATCTGGCCAATTGAGTTTCTCCTATTATTACACTTCTTCTTAGTTCAAAGAAAAAACAGGATTTAAATTAAATTTGATCATCTTTTCTTATTTTGATAGCTTTGGATCACTTAAGACCAATAATGCTGTTGCTAAATCAGTTAAGTGTATATCTTCTTAAACATCTATGAAAAATTTCATAGAATTAAAATTAATCCCTCTAATTTTCTTTTCTAATTCTATTTCATCTTTAAATTGACCTAACATGTTTTAAAATTATGGTTTGCTCTCATATTATTCTAATTTTTAATCCTCTAATCCAGGCATTATTCCTTTATCTATTTATTCCTATAATTGATCCAAATTTGAAATCCAATTTTCGTAATTTCTTTTTTTCAAAGGATTTCGTTTAATTGCTTCTTCTAAAAAAAGAATTCTGGATTAAATTAGTTCATGTTATAGATCCTTTTAATTCATGTTATTCAGAGTTGATATAATTACCTTATTGAAAATGCCATCCTTCGTTGTTCTGCATATTTTCTAGATAAAAAGAGTGGCATTTCTAGTTCCTAAATTCACTAATGTATCAAAGAACAAATAAGCCGTATTTGGATCCACTATTTTTTCAACATGATTTTTGATGTACAATTAATAATAGAAATTAATGATTTCATCCATTGATAATTCTTCAACATCCTTAGCCATTGGTATATCGCCTTCTTTCACTCCTAATTTTAAATACTTTTCTTTATGAAATTTGCCATAAATATTTTACGACACCCCATAATTTATTTTTTCTTATTGAATGTCGTAATGAACTTTCTCTCTTTAATTTTCAAGAATATGTTAAACTATTATCTCAAATTTATTAATTTTCGACATCAATTCCAATAGAATTAGAAAAATAATATAAATTCTGAATTAAATTACAAATCAACAGCTCTAATAATATTACATAATAGCATAAAAAAGATGAGTTACAAAGATTATTTTACATTCTGCTTTAAGAGTTAATAGAGTCTCAATTTAAAATTCAATTTTTTTGTGGGTTCCTAAAAAATAGATTTTAGCTTAAAGAGGAATTCTTTACAAACTATAGCAATTAGACTCTTATCTTTATAAGCTAATGGTTAATTCTAAAGGCTAAGGGAATTCGGAAACTTGAACATGGATTTTTGGAAACACTCCATTAAATATATTTTATATTATAAATTTTTAGCAATAAATATAATGTAATTTGATAATTATATTAAATTGATTTCCAAGCAATGTCTAAATTTACTAAATCAAAAATGTTAAAATAAAATCATCATCAAATACTAATCAAACATAGTTGTTTTTGTGAGATTTACTTCAAATTTAAGAAATGAATAACATAATATTAGATACTAAATAAGTATCATACTATTCTTAATAAACTCTAACAATTAATTAACAATAGAAAATATATTCGAATAAATTTATTTAAGACATAGGCATCTATTTTCTTAAAATGTTCAGATAAGAAAATATCAAAAATTTATGTTAACCAAAGCTAGGGCACTTAGAATAGCTATGATAGATTGATATTAATGACAAGGAATCTAATATAGAATTCCCTAGTCTTCATTTCCATATCAATCATTTTCTTAATATATTTATTATATTTATTGAATTATACATAATTAAATCGAATTATCATAAAATAATAAATTCAAGACAGAGGCATCTGAACATTTAGTTGAATAATATTATTCAATTTATTTTAGCAGATTTGCTTTTCCAAACAATATGATCTATAGGAGAAATTAAATGAAAGAGCAAATATACTTTAATGTATCTTAAAAATGAACGGTTGACTAATATCATTTAATCTATTTCAATCATCATAAAAATCTGTAATTTATTTGTCGTCATTCAATATTTATTAATAATAATGAGTTCTGCTATTCACCTTCATATTGGAGGAGCTGGAGTAATGATAGGAGATGCACTATGGAAACTTTATTAAAAGGAGCAAGAGGAGACAAATGTTAAGAGTTATATTTACAATGAAAACGATAATAATCATCCATTATCTATGTTTATTGATTTAGATGATAGAATGGTAAACGAAATCAAAAAGGATAAATCTGTTAACTATAAATCTAACTCTTTTGTTACTGGCAAGGAGGACTCATCAAACAACTATTGTAGGGCACATTATTCAATTGGAAAGGAATTAGTTGAAAAATGTTTAGATAATATTAGAAAGTAAGTAGAAAGTGTGGGAAGAATAGATTCATTCATTATTACGTCTGCTCTAAGCGGTGGCACAGGATCAGGTTTTACTTCTTTGCTTTTACATAGATTATATGTTGAATACGGAGAGAAGGTCAATAGAAATGCATTCTTGATTTATCCATCTAAAGAAATATCGAACAATACAGTGGATATCTATAATGCTGTTCTAGCAACTCGTATGACTATAGAACATTGTAATTCGGTTGTTATGTTAGATAATCAATCTATGTATAATACCATTGATTCTCAGATTGGTTTAGATTATGTTGATTATTCTCACCTAAATAATTTAGTATGCTAAATAATTAGTTCTTACACTGGTTTAAGAAGATACAGTAATATTGATAATGGCAAATTATTTACTGGGCTTTGTCCCTATCCATTAATTCATTATGTGATACCCTCATATGGACAATTGGCATCCATAAATGATTAGATTAATAAATAATTAAATGAAAAATAACTGATATAGTAAATAACAAAACCAGCTCAAAGATTATTTTATTCAGAAATGAAACCTGAACACATTTGTGCATCCTTTGTTCATCGTTCTCAACACTAAAATAAATTTTTTGGTTAATAGGATTTGACACTTTAAAGAATGAAAATTAAATATTAAGCAAATCCAAATGTGTTTTAATGTTAATCTAAAAATTATACAGTAATTCCAGAACTTGCATAATTAAAGTAAACTGCTATATTTCTGTCTAATGATGCTTCCTTGTTCAATTACTTTGAATTACTTGGTAAGAAGTATGATTTAGTATACGCTAAAAGAGCATTTGTTCATTGGTTTGTTGGAGAAGGTTGTGAATCTGGGGAGATGTCAGAATGTAGAGAAAATGTGGCTTATCTGAGCAATAACTATGAAGAGCTGACAGATGGAGCGCTCAGAGTTTGCTAAACGTAAGTAGATGATGATTGAGAATGAATTTGTTATCAATTTATTTATGCTTATCTCTGATTATTAATAATTACTTCTAAAATTCTACAATAAAGTTTAAGCGTTAATTTCATACTCATAAAAAGAATTATGGAATAATTTATTCATTTTAAATAAGAACTCATTTTTGTGATTGTACTCAAATCTATTGACAATATCGTTTAATATTTCTAAATAATATATAAATTAATATTATCAAATTTATTTTTCTGATTTTGTTTAAAAACTATATTAAGATACATAATTAGTCAATTTGATATTTAATCTAATATTAAAGGAATAATTTACTAATAATTTTCTTTGTATTTCTTTTTAAAAAAAGCCTATCTTAATTTGTAAAAATTGTTTTTAACTCTCTCTTCCTTCTATTTTAAATGTTCTAGGTTTTTTGATAAATATTTAGTATATTTAGAATTAGGTTAAGAGGCAAGGAATACTGAAAGCAAAGATGACAATATCTGAGGTTTTAACTTCTTGTAATAGACTTTTAGGATGTCTCTAACAAATGGGAAACTCAGTACTAAACTGATCAATATGATTATAGTTTAAATGACACCTGAAATTATTGAATTGTCTTATTAATCACATATATATTTCACGGCTGCTAGAAATATTGCACTGGAACAAAGCTAGCCAGCCTATATGTCCAATAGATTGAATCTTTGAAGGTGATATGGCTTGAATCGTTAAGATATGAATTAATAGATCAACAAGCACAACCCTAATAATGTAGCCTTCAGAAATATATCAGTTTCAAAATAAATTAGAATAATTATAATAATTGTTTTCTTCCACAATTTAATCCACTCCCAAAAGTAGGTTTTTCCAGAATACTCATTAAATAGATACCCAATGTGTCTTCTATATTTAATTTTATTAAGCTTATCCTTCTTGAAGAAAAGGTAAGTGTACATAGAAAATGGTAATATTATTACTAGCAACACAGACCCAGGCACTACAAATCCATATATCCATTTAATATGAGTATTAGTGCCATACAGTAAGGACACATCCCCTTAGATATAGTCGATTTAAGAAATCGTTCTAGCTGCCAATATCGAAAAGAATCTAATATTAGGAATATAAGTGTTACTAATTGATCACTGATGCATAATTTTAAATATACAGATAAAGAATAGTTATAGAGAGAATTCTGCTTTGATATTTATAATCTGTTAATAAAGAAAGTAGTTAGAATCCTAAATAGATTATTATAATTTAAGATATTATTAATACTATAGTAAGGATAATTCTGCTGTAAATCAATTCGGTACCATGTATTTCCGACAAAAAGCATTCAAAATAATTAGCCATAAAATAAGATGTATCACTTGATTATTTCAAAAAGCCTAAAGAGAATGAAAATCGAATGTTAAAAGTAAAAATAAGAGAAAATATCCAAATATAATTTAAAAATAACTTAAGTAAAATACTCTCATGATCTAAATATACACATTATTATTACCTTGATTCAAATTGAATAGAATATCTGCAAACTTTTATTTTAATTTAAGTGAAGTGAATAATTAGTTAGATTTTTCAATACTTTTGATGGTTAAGAGAGTTGATAAGATAGCCCTAATAATATAATTGATTAATTTTACCAAAATGATATCAATAAGAAAGCTATTAATCTTTTTAAAAGCTCTTAGCATTATTAACATTCCAATTATTATTAGTTCTTGAAGAACTGGCCATCTCCTCTAAGATTAAATTTATCGCACTCTTCACATAAACCTCCAAGATGTCCCTTATTGCAAGTTTTATCACCTATAGCCCAGCCTCCCAAACATTTACTTGTACTTTTATAGCAGAGTTCAATATAATCTGAGATATAATTAGGTCTCCAATAACCTGGTTTGAGTTAAATTTTATTTGAAGTAATCGCATCGACTTTAGTTTTATCAAAAATAGAGCATTTTGTAGTATTGTAAGTAACAGAGTAAAACCCTTATTCTGATTGGCATGTTTAACAACCACCAGAAACATAAAATTCACCTAATTGACAGAAAAAGCTTTTGACCCTCATTTTATAAGAAAATACACTATCCTAATATTCAGTTTTGCATTGGATTAGTATTTCTTATATTTTATCATTCTAGGTATATGGGTCAAAATTGAACTTAGATAATCCAATGTTAAACTTATGAATAATTGAATCGTAAGCAATTTCTTATGTATGTGTGGTTTCTTAAAGTGAATAGGTGCTGACATCAAATGATTATTAAGTTAAATTACATGAGGAATTGATAAGGTTTAGAGTCTACTACTCATTCATGCTATTTTTTAAAATGATAGAAATCTCATTAAAGTAAGCTATGTATTGCTGAATCTTAGGATTATAAAGTTGATAATTAATTAGAGTTTGGCCACTAGGTATAGTTAAATAATTGGTTCTTCTCATATGATCTTGGGATATGATTTTATAAGGATTTAGTTATAATACATACACTGATTCATTGTTTAAGGATTGCCTCTAAGAATGCATTTCTTGATAATTAATCTACAAGGCTAAATGAGAGGGCAATTCGTTGATATTGCTGGATGATACATCAGCAAAATTAAATAAAATGATTGATTATTTGAAATTTTCCACATTCAAACTGCTGTTCCCCTCTAGATAAACACCCCCTCCTTCTTATGCTTAATTCTAACAAATTAGAGTTTAATTTAATAAGAATCTTTATGAATTTTAATTAAAATAAATGCCTCCTCCTTTTTCATCGGCAATATTATTAATAATTCTTGTATTTTGCAAAGCAACTCTTAAGTTTTACACTTATACTCCTGTTCCTTTAGTTCCATGGTTTGACATAAAGATTGAATGATCAATATATATTTATTTATCCAAGCTACTATCTGATATTGCTAAAATACACCCATATGATTTGATAAAATTCATAAGGCAATTGATTTCCTTAAGTTTAATTACTTTTATATCTGTCAATTCGAAATATATTAAACCATTCCAACAATGCTAACAGTCGTTATTTATAACTGAGATTTTTCTAAGCGAAAATTAGGTTTGATTTGTGATGCTTTTCAAATGGATCAAAGACCCTTTTTAATTAGAATTGGCCAAAATTTCTTCAAAAAATTGATTGATTGAAATTTACTCTGAATTAGATTACGTTACATCTTTACTTATGAAGGTATATTGATTAATATTTAATTGAACATTTGAATTTATGTAATTTAGTTAAGTTTTCTTGGTTGAAAATGAATTTACATTTAATATTGAAATTTTATTTAGAAGTAAATTTGCGCCTAAAAGATTGCTCTAAGAGAATTCTAGTATATTTAATGGATAAAATGTCGAAATATTATAGAAATTAGAATTAGCAAAGAAAATCTCATTATAATCCACAATTTTTATAATTCCTGATAATATAATACCTTCAATTTAAAATCCTTTCATCTCTAACTTGCATCCAATGATATTTATAATAGCATTATCTGAGATTACTTTTTAGATTTCTATAGGATTAAGAGTTCCAATCGATTGTAAGTACAAAAAGAGTGCGGTATCAGTTTAACTAATATGTAAGTTCTAAATTGACACTTAATCCATAATCAGCATTTTCAAAATCGAACTCTAAATAAAGCAATTGATTCACAAGAGAAAAGCAATTCTGAGCATATATCTTGTTTAATAATATGTCATTCTTAGTAGGGGATGGATAAATTGAAAAAATCGCAGATGATAGTTTATCTTAGACATCCTTCAAAGTTAGATTTTCAATCTCCACAGCTAATAAGCTCCCCTTAGCATTGATAGTAATTGCTCCATCTACCTAAGATGATGAAATAGATTAAGTCTAAGCATTTGGGATATCACAATTTTTAATAATTACAATTCCATTACCTTATAAATTGATGTTAAAAATTAAGCTACTCGCTGCAATTATATTACTAAATAAACCATTAGCGAAATTCAATTATGTAGATGTAATCTATAGAGCTCCACCTATTGTTTCAATATTAAATGCATTCTTAATTATCTAAGTAATTTCGTTTTAGGTGTATTAATTTGAAATTTACACTTGATAATATTTGCTCCATATTTCAGCCTCAAGGTAGTTATGATTTAAAGTTTAGAAGGTTTCAAAAGTAATAGTATTTGAAAAGATGGAAATGAATGAACTGGATGAATTAGTCAGAGCATTGGAAGAGCATATTATATTTGTCATAATTATTTTTCCTTATACAGAATTGATAAGAATAAGGCTGGCATAATTATCAGAAGGATCAGTTAAGTATTAATGAAACATATTTTCTTTAAAATTTACATTGTTCATAGATAAGATTTGAGTTTTTTCAGAGTAAATTTAAATTAAGGAATAATATAAACCTAATTTTTATTTTATTAGAATATTTCCTAGAAAAGTGACATGACTAATCACTATAGATTCTATTGCATTAAAGTTAATCAAAGGATTAGATTGAATAGAGATAATAGATTAATCTATGCTAAATTAATTTATAATCTAAATTTATTAAAAAATTAAGTTAGAGAATCCTGATACTAATAGTAATTGTGAACTTATTTAATTATTTTGCAAACAACCAAACTTGATTGCAACTTTTTCTTATTAATTCTAATTCTCATATAGCATGTTTTCTACTCTTATTATAGGAGTAGCAAATATAGAAAAAAATCTCACATCATAGGTGTTTTTCAATTCGATATTATTGATTTATAAAGTATAACAAGTCAATTTAAGAAGAAACTAATAATGATCTTCAGGATCTTGAATATTGTTCTCAAAGAGAAAATCTTCTAACTTTATATTCACATTATTGTTTTCATACTTTACTTCTGTAATAAAAGCAGAGAAATTTGAAACTTGATTTTCTAAAATGATAAAATTATTTATCCTAATTTCTGAATCCATAAATGTAGTTGCTAATGAAACCAAAAATTACGTATCTTTTAAAAGATTCTCCTTCAATATTATATCATGAAAATAGAAGCTTTTACTGAAAGAAATCATCCTACAACCATTAAGTGAACTTTTGGTAAGTGAAAATTTATTAACATTAATAGTTGAATTACCATTGCTGTTAAGGAAATTTGAGTCTTAAAAGAAAGAATCCTTAATTTCTACATTATTTATAAATATATCTGCAAATTCATTGGAGTTTAAATTGATTGTTATGATTGATGAACTATAAAATTAGCATGTAGTAATTATAAGACTATCAATTCTGATTAATCTACGCATATTCGAGAAATATAGTAAAGTTGAATTGTTAAAGATGCAATTGGACAGCTGTAAATTCTTTAAAGTAATAAGTTCACCTTCATCGGAACTTATGATTGAAAAAATGAGAGAATTTTTAATTATCAAGTCAAAAATATTAACATTGTTCAAATCAAATTTGAGGAAGTTATCACTTGACCATTATAACTTTATAGGATTGGTGCGATCAGAATAAAAGTTTGTATCAATAATATCAAAATCTATAGATTACCCTCTATTCTGAAATACGAATTCTAATCTATTTCTTATTAGAAAGAGTACTTAAGAGATTGTAACTTAATCAAAATACAACACCTTTAATTACAGTACTAAGAGGAAGGGTTGTGTTAATTATCCCTCTATTCTCATCTTTGATCACTTAGATAGAGAATACTTTTTCTCTAAATTAATTTATAAAAATATAATCTGTAACCCTCCACGATCCACAAATTTCGTTGAATAGTAAGATTAATGTAATTTTTTTTAGTCCTATTTCATTAAAATACTTGTAATTAAATCTATATTCCAAATAGTAATCAAGGGGCACAACGTTTAACATTCTAAAAGTCTCGCAAACAAATTCAACCTAAATTATAATCGCTCATTACTTGGTACTCAAAATTGTAATCACAATTATCATTAAGACAATACGATGCGATTTGGAAATTTGGATCAATTACAATTTATGCTAAGGGAACCTGTTTATAGGCATTTCATAAGTGTATATTTAATTATCTGTTGTTATTTTAAAAATTGGGTTTATTTTCTATTAGAATTAATAATATAATACTTCTATTTCTTCACTTGATCTATATTCACATGTTTAACATAGTGAAGGACATTCCATACACTTACCCTCAATTTGTCCTCTTTACCGGTACTTGTAATAGTTCAAACCGCATTTTTAACAAGCAAAAAAGAATTAAGGGGGTTTTACATTTTTCTAGCATATTTAACAATTCGAGTCACAATATTCGTGGCATTAATTTTAAATAATGTCGTAGCCATCGAAGCATTACACAACATAATTCTTACTAAGAGTAATTATTAATTCATAAGAAAAATTTTTAATTTGAAGGAATTGAATTCTGAAGCTTTGAATCAACCATTTCCAAGGTTCAACATTCTTTGAATACCATTAAATACATGTTTTGGAATATTATATCAAAGTGCATTCAGTACAAATTCCTGTAAATGCAGACGCTGAATATCCATCTTCACAAATTATACATTTTATTATTAATTCTGGAGTTTATATACATTATTTGCATTTATACATGTGTTTTTGACAATTTATAATTTCTGGGGCAATACTGAAATCATCTATTGATGATAATGTACAAATTTCTTAACCATCAAATGCAATATATGATCTAAGACAATTTGAGATTGCAGGAATCTAATATAAACATTCCTCCTTTTCAAAGTTATAAATGAAACCATCATTACACTATGAACAACCTGTTTTAATCTCTTCGCCAACAATAGAGTAGGAGAATCTTTAATTTAGAGTGGTAATTGAGTGATCATTGCCAAAATAATTGAAGCAATATAAACAATATTTTATCATACATAGAGTACATTTTAATTCAAAATTTAAAAAATAAGGAGGTAGGCAATACTATTGCGAACCTAACGGTGGTATTGTTAGAGATACAAATTTACCAATGGTCGATAATGATTAGTCATCCCCACATTTATAATAACTTAAGGAGTTTCCATCAAAATTATAACAAGAATCTGAATCCTAGAACTATTGCGATATATTTCCATCTTCGTCTGAATATATCGATGTCTTACAATAAAGCATATTTAGCCATTCCTTAGGATTCTATAAACACTCAAGACATGTGAGTACATTTTCAGAAATCGTTGATGGACTAGTTAGATAATAATACAAAAATACCATCTGAAACATTGATCTTCAAATTAAAAATATCCATATTTACAATTTGAAGTAGGAACTTCTTCTGGAATTATGATACTTAAATTAAGACTCTAGTAAGTTAAGCATTCGTTTTCCATATCAATAGTACCATAATCACAGATGCACTCCTTAAAATCTGGGTAATATCTTCTATTTGATGATTCGGCACAAGATAAACAATCAGACTTTGTTGGACCATCGCATTCCTTGCAAGTCCTATGACATTTTTATCCCAGTTCTACATCCTCTACGCAATTAAAGAATTAAAAATCAAAAATCTGAATTTTTAATTAGTATGAATGAGTTTATAATAGATCTCCGTATTACAATTTAAATTAAACCAAATTAAACTGTTTAACTTCTTAGTAAAATTCATACTTTTCTTATTCAGAAAAGCTAATTGAAATTTATATGGCAGTTTCCAATTTCCTAACATTCAAATAATGCCATAGTTTTACATCACTGACAATATTAAAGGTCTCTTTGATTAAAAAGGGATCGTTTGAAAAATCAATATTTATTGAGGGAAATGTATAACTATATGTAGTTATAATGATCTAATTTCCTTTAGAGGATAACTTATAAGTTAGTGTAAAAGGGGATATATTGTCACCTGTCGTTTAAGAAACCTTAACATTTCCAGATAATTTTAAAAATTTAAAATGTACTGCATCAGCAAAGATTTGCACCTAATCAAATTTAATCCAACCTGAAAATAAGAATTCTAAACAATTTATTTATTAAGAAAGATAAAGAAATTCTTCTTACTATTATATCACTTAATTATTGATATTCGTATTTTCACTTGATTAACATCGACAATCATCTAATTTGAAATTTTCAATATATGAAATTATAAAGTCACAATATTCTTCTACATTTAAATAATATCCTTGAGCAATGAGAACTTACCCAGGGAAATACGATAATTTTCCATTTTATGAATTGTGAATTTATTAATTCTCATTTACTACCAAGTCTCCTCCAAAAATCAAATTTAATTGATCGTCATAAAATGGTAATTCAACCTGCATCTAGTGTATTTTAATCGTTTGCCCTTGTTCATAAAAATAAACATTTAATTTTTTTTGAAATGGGGATGTCTAAATTCCAACAAAAAACCAGACATACTCATATTCACCCTCTATTGGCATCTCATAAATATGATCATCACCATTGTTATCTATAAATTGTAGATATTTTATTATAGAATTGGCTTCGTAATTAAGACATTCATAGTAAATCAAGTTTATCCTTTATGTTGTTGGTTCTTGTGCATGATGTAAATGAAAGCAATTGCTATCTAAAATTCCAATTTATCCAATTTTAACGATGGTGCTTAATGGAATATATCTACTCCACACACCGTATCCACTACAAGCAGTGTACATCTAACTTCTCGATAATGGGTAAACCTAGAATGGATATTATGACAGCAAATAAGTAGTTTATATGCAATTTGCTACAGTAATCATTGTTACTAATTCAAGAGAAAATCTTTTGAACATATTCAATTTTTTAAAATTATCAATAAATAAAATACAATCACATCACATCAAAATAAAAGCTTAAGCTTCGGCGCTGTCGGAATACATGCCTCCACAAGCTACGTCCTAACGTTGAGT